TAGTACAGAAGAACATCCCACAGGCTCCAAGGCTAACTCCAAAAGAGGACTTCCACCAGCGTTTAGTACAGTGACGTTTCTGGGCCTCCCAGGGTGAGAACTTTGAAGGGGATACGACTGTCAATTGCATGTGCATACTGGATTAAGTACATTACAGGCCGTACTGACAAGGAGTAGCTCCAGAAAGGAAGAAGCCCAGCAAGCTGAGTCTGAGTGAGAAGGACTTACTTTCCGGCTCCCCCGCCAAACGAAAGGCCAGCAGAGTTCATTCCCGCCAGGACAAAGTAGCCCTGCACTGAAGGAGACTCTCCCATGAGGCACCTCATGTCCGGGGTGAAGGTCTCAGGGCAGTTCACCAACTTCACGATCTCCAGAGCCTCCAGTTCTGGCATCCGACGCAGGAGGGAACTCAGCAGGGGCTCTGAGCAACAACAGCAAACCAAAACAGAGTTCCCAGCTTTAGGGAAGCCCCAAACATTCTACCCCTTACGCTTCTCTACCTCCCTCCTTTTAGAAAATTCTCTTGGAGAGCTTTCCTAAGAAGAGCCAGCTTGGCCATTTATCAGAAGCAGAAACCGTGGTGGAATCGTGGGGCGTACCTACAAAGTGATCGACATAAATACAGATGGAGAGGAAAGAAAGATACTCTCTAGAGAGGAAAGGGGCTGAGGGAGAGCAGATACCACCCGTGCCTACAGAGGACAATCTCAAAGGGATCAGAACTCGAGGGAAAGCCCTTAAATGGCCCCCAAGGAGATCTGCAATTAAAGACAATGTCACCTAAGTTGGAACAGCAGCAAACGACAGAGCCTCGGCCTGTTTTAAGGTAAGTCCACAGTCAGGGAATAAGCCAGTGGGACAGTGGTAACAGATGACACACCAGGCTGAAGCAGGCTGGTGGGTACATTGGGGTTTATACTGTTCTCCCCACTTTTAAAAGTCTGAAATGTCCCCAAAATTAAGTTCTAAAGGGAAGGAGGGACACTCTTCATTCTAGTCCCTTTCATAGCTTTTGAATTTGGGACCATGTGACTATATGACCTATTCAATAAATTAAAATTATTTTAAAATTGAGTAGAAGAACGTATTAACAAAACAATTCTGCTTTTTAAAATTCTCTTCAATTTTATACGAAGTCCTATCAAAAGAAGGTTTCCTCCTAGCCTAAAATTTCAGCAGTGATGTTAGGTAAGTAAGAGAAGCCAAAAATCATTTAACCGAGATCCAAGATTTTTAGTTCCCTGAGTCTGTTCACCAGTAACTGTATCCTCAGACCAGACAAACTCTGTAGACTGCCCTCTGTAACCACCGAATGGTGTTGTTACAAAAATCAAATAAGGAACTACGGAGGCATACCTCGGTTCAGTTCTAGACCACCTCAGTAAAGCGAATGTTGCAATATAGCGAGTCACTGAATTTTCTGGTTTCCCACTGGCTATAATATGTAAATAGTATGTTTACACTCTACTGTAGTGTATTTTTTAATGTGTGTGTGACAGCATTATGCCTAAAAAAGCAATGCACATACCTTAAAAACAAATTTAAAATAAAATTAAATACTTTACTGCTACACTAATTTGAAAAGATTCATGCACCCCAATGCCCCAATGTTCATAGATGCATTATTACAATAGCCAAGATGTGCAAGCAACTAAATGTCCATAGACAGATGGGTAAAATAAACGTGGTTACATATATATATATATATATATATATATATATATATATATATATATATATATATACACACACACACACACACACACACACATACATACGTACATATATATATATATATATAATGGAAGACTCAGCTGTAAGAAAAAAATGAAATTTTGCCATTTGCAACATGGATGGACTTGGACGGTATTATGCTTGCTTAGTGAAATGAGTCAGAGAAAGACAAATACTGTATGTTATCACTTATATGTGGAATCTAAAAAAGAAAATGAACTAGTGAATTAAATAAAAGAGAGAGAAAGAAAGAAGCAGACTCACAGAATCAGAGGATGAACCAGCACTTACCAGTGGGGAGAGGGAAGGAAGAGGGGGCAGGAGAGAGGCAGGAGATCAAGAGGAACAACTACCATGTACAAGATAAACAAGCTACAGACCTACATTGTACAGGACAGAGAATATTTTATAATAACTGAAAATGGACTATAACTTAAAAATTATGAGTCATTATGTTGTACACCTGAAACTTATACAATATTGTACCTTAACTAGATCTCAGAAAAACTTTTTAAAAAGTCAACTCATTCAGACTTCAGTGCATTATTAAAACTTCTAAAAAAAAACGTAAAAAAAAAAAATTGCTAAAATATGCTAACCATGATCTGAGCCTTCAGCAAATCTTTTTTTTTTGCAATAGTAACAACAAAGATCACCGATCATAGATTATAACAAATATAATAATAATAATAAAAAAGCCACAATTACCAAAATGTGAGAGACACAAAGGGAGTAAATGGAAAATGGCACCAACAAGCTTGCTCAACACAGAGTTGCCACAAACCTTCAATTTATTCAAGACGCAGTATCTGCGAAGAACAATAAAACGAGGTATGCCTGCATTCCTGAAAATGCTTTAAAATGTAAGGCATTCGTGTTACAACCTAGTTCACATACCAAAGTGATCCCAGTCTTCCTGTAGATTCTGAATCTCCAGCTGGTTCTTGCCCTCAGTGAAAATTGGTTTCGGGTTCTTCTCAAAGCCCCCAGACAAGATGCCACCCTGCCAGTTCCGAATATAAATTCTTCCGTCAGCGTCCACAATAGCTGAGGAAGAGAAATGACAAGGGGGTGGGGAGTAGGAGAGAAGAAACAGGGTTTAGGGCCCAGCCAGCATTCCAGATGGACAGAAAGAGAAGCACAACAAAAACACCAATTATAGGCTTTATTAGCCACACAGCATCCAGTGAACACAGGCTCTCATCAGCTTGAAAATACCTTTCCCGCTCATGGGGGAGGATCCTCCCTCTCAGGTTTACAGTGGAGACTTTCTCAGACTATGCCTAACCAGATCAGTTACCTAGAAGCTTTAACTAGTCCTCACAACCAACCAAACTACGTAACTGCCACTGTGCCACGTGAAAGCCTAACAGAAAGGGGGCTGCAGAGCCCACTCTAGGGACGAAGACCTCAAAGTGACATCAAACCCTCCCACGGCACCGGGAGTCACTGAATAGCTCACCTGTGACATCTCCACTATGTACAGCATTGAGACAAAAACTCTTAGGTTACATTCCAAACATTCTCAATTTGGAATTACAGTTAACTTGCCAAAAAACAAACAAAATTGCTGAAGTGGGATGGCCAGAGTGGGCATTTTCATAAGGAGTCAGTTATTACAGGAAAGTTAGAATTGGGTCCCCCTCCCTGTAACATGCTCCAGAAAAGACAAGACTCTTTGGGCACAGTCTGTCCTTAGCAGAAAGCCTTCCTCTGCAGAGGACAGAACGGTGGCAAGGAAACAAGATTAAAAACAAAGTGCGAGTCCTCACTTGGTGCGTTGCTCTGCAGGGGGGTCTCCAGGGGGCGAGTCAGAAGGTAGAAGTGCTCGCAGGCATGTAACGGGATACTGACCGGCTCCTCGTTGGACAGACCCAGCTCGTATGCCCACTACAAACGGACAGATTGATTTGTGGGTGGAAGAGGAACAGAGAGACAAATGAGCAAGTTCAGCCGCTTGAGAAGAGTTTAATTTCAAGCAGCTAATGGGCACTCTCGCTACCATGTCAGCTGTGGGAAGCCAAGCTCCCGCCTGCTGTAGTTCAGTTATCGGATGGGGAGCAACACTATACCCTTTAAAGCACAAAATTTACTCTTAGCTCAAAGGAGGACCGATTTACCAGCTGTAAAAGGAACTCGTGGGGAGCAAGCAAGGCCCTTTTAACAGAATGCCTGGCCTCAACTGCAAACCCCAGATACCAATCACAAAAGAACTTCACAGGTCAGAGAGTATTCCTAGGTCCCCTTAAGACTGTGGAGGGGGAGGCAAGGGGCCAGTCTGCCCCCAGACCAACAGCGGCGTAGTGTTCTGGAAACTGAATGCATGCTCCTGGCACAATAAAACCGCCTACTACTTATTTGCTGGGTGATAGGATGAAATGAATCACCAAAGAAAGACCAAACGCCAAGGGCTGATTTATGTCAAGATCAATTGTTTCCTGGCCTTCCGGACCAGGACAGCACCAGTCACCAGGGTGGAGGAAGGAAAGGTCACCAGTGCTTCTATATGAGGAGTAAGTACAGGGTTCCGATTTGGAGTGCGAGAATTCTGAGTTTTCCCATCCACACAAGAAACAGTGTGGTCCCTGGCGTCTGTTTATTCCGTCACAATACTAACCTTCCGTCTCTACGCCAAAAAATCCTGGAGACAAGAGGTAAATAAGAAAATCAGTGACCCAGTATTGCTGCTAACCTACCTGACCAGCGCAGTTGACAAAATACTGGCACTGGATCTGTCCTTTATCTGTCTCCACACCAGTGACTTGACCTTTTCTGACCATAACATGAAGAATACTCGTCCGGTCATAGATCTGAACACCTGTGGAAAAGCAGAACAAAGGGTTGGTTGCGTCATCACCTACCGTGTCAGAACTCGGCACTTGCAGCAAATTCTCAACTCAAGGATCACTGAAAAGGCCAGGTCGATGCTTTCATTTTAAAAACCAAAAAACTCCTGGAACCTCATCCTGAGACTGTGGAAATGGGCCTTTCCCAAGACTGAAAAGGCCAGGCTAAGTGAAAAGCCAACTTTAGTAAATAACCAAATCCCAGTAATCATAACGGGGCAGGGGAGAAAAAGTTCAGTAGGGCATCTTAAATCCTCATCTACCTACATCACGAATCAGTTTATCCAAAGTGTGTAACACCCTGGGCACTGACTAGTTCTCCCCCTTATTCACTCCAACACCAGGATGTGATCCAAGCTGTCTGTGGATTAAATCCCCAAGGTGTGTTTCAACCTTGGAGCTTCTCAAGTCCCGTGGCGGGGTGCGGGGGGGAATGCCCTTAAATCTGAAGTGCTTTAAGCAGTAACTAAAAGCAGTTCCTTGGAACTTTAATAAGAAAACTGTGGCCCTGAGGGAAAATATTTATTAACAGGTTATTATAGAAACACAAAAGTCCTGCGAAGACCTAAGAGCCAGTGTTCCCACATGGAAGCGGCTTGGTGCCCCTGCCTATCGTGAGGTGCTTTCTTAGACGACCTCTTCCTTCCTAACCCAAAGCCAGCTTACCATTTTGGGAGGCAGCACTTGCCAGGGCAAGGGCCACATCAGCGGAGGACACCACCGCATCCTCGGGAACATGCATGGCCCCCACCAGGTCGTGCACATTGAGGAGAGGGTGAAGTTCGGCCACTTTCCTGGGGGAGATGATCTCGGAAGGGATGCCTATGACACTGCCACAGAACACAGGGGGACAATGACATTCACTGGCCCTCCCGCAGAGGTCAGGTGACAGTAAAGTCAGGACAGGCTTCTAGCCTCATACGTACTTCAGCCTTGAGTTAACACGCTTCAGGGAGATCAGCCGGTCCTGAGTTTGTGCCAGGAAGATCGAGCCCGTCCTTATGTAACCTGGAAGAGAAAACAGCCCAAACTGAGACAGACCAGGCAGAGTGCGGCTTGGGGGAAGGGGCAGAGTGGCAAGCCCACTAGACTGTCAACAGCAGACCTGTGATGAGTCCGGGCTGCCCACCAACCAACCAGTCTCAGCTCAGTCTTGTGAGGATCAAATGAAGATTCTAATGTACATCAAATCACTCTTACAATAGAAGTGAATTGCTACACAGACTTTTCTTGGGGGGAGATGTAACTCTGACCGATCTATATTCTCACCCCTTTAGGTAATTACACCCTTTGGCCTCCTATTCTAGGTGGGAGTGTAACCCTTGGTGAAGGCCACTCACCACATCAGCCTCCCCTCCGCTGTTCCCCAGTACAGCCAGCAGGCCTGTGACCTAAGTGCAAGCCATCTGACCCTCCTGGAATACTCAGTCTTGATCAAGGAGGTGCCTCATCTCAGAAGCAGCAGCGTCCTGGCCAGGCTATTCTTGTTCCAGCTGAGGGACTGACTGCTGTGGGGTCCCCACAACCTGGCCTCCACCCTGCCTCCAGCCAGCCCTACAGGCCCTTAGTGGCCTTCCAACTAAACTCTTTTTTGCCCAAGTTACCCAGGGTCAATTCCTGTTGTTTACCATCAAAGTACCTGCTACAACCGCTACTACACTTGAGTCGATGACAATCTTCCCAGAATGCAGTGACTCTTAATTCTTACGAAGAAAAACATCGAATCAATCAGGTATATTTTAAAAAGTAAATTTAAGTATTTTCTTACTCCTCTTGAAATCATCAGCTAAATATGCCCTTCACTGACATGACAAGGTTGCCAAGTTTGGGGAACTGAAGTGTCAGAGCCTGGTTTTGAAAGGACTCGTATCTTCAATAAATTTATTCCTTTGCTCAATCCTAGAGTACACAGAAAGCAGACCTGTCCATACCACTACCACTGTGAAAAATAAAATCGCTAATTACTGGTCAATGTTTGTTTACATTTCTGTTTGTCTTCGACTGAAGGTAGAGTCAAAATACTGTGGTCAGAGGTTCCTAGTAGTTCTTCTTTCCCCCTATAGAAAAGTTGTTACTCACTGGAAATGTAGTTAGGTTATTTCTGGTAGTGTTCCATCGTAGGTCCCCCCTCACCCCCATCCTGATGGTTTTCTTTTATATTTGAGTATGCAAAATGTTCACATCACTCTAAAAGTCGAAACTACACAAAATCAAGAAATGTCACTACCCCCCACGCCCCCACCCTCCACCCTGTTTCTGTCTTACCCTGGGAAGGTAACCAACCTCAGTACTTCCTGGTTTATCCTTCCTCTATTTCCTTGTTCGCAAAATAAGTATGCACTTGCATATTTTATTTCTTACACAAAAGTAGCCTATTTTATGTCATCTTTAATGCTCTGTTTTTCTTATATGACAGTGTATCCCAGAACCCACTCCACAGCAGTTCACTGACATCCTCTTCCTTTTCTCATCCACCTAGCAGTCCTTCATGTGGTTGTTCCACTTCATTTTACCAACGTCCTATGTATAATATTTAAATTTGCAGTCTTACATTTGCAATTAGATAGTATTACAATAATTAATCTTGTGGGCTTATATTTTTGTACAAAACATTCTTAAGGGCAAAAAACAAGGTACAGTCTTTAAAAAAAAAAAGGTACGTAATAATATGCTGAATACAATCCGAGTTTGGTTAAAAAAAAAAACAAAAAAAAACTATACCTGTATACATATACCATAAAAGGGAGTCCAAGGGTACAAACTAACCAGAGTGGTAACTTTCAGGGGTTACTGAGTGGGGAGGAAAGATTTTCACTTTTTATTTTTATATTCCTATATAGCTCATATTCATTATAATGAGTATATAACTTGTTACATATGTTTAAAATTTTTTAAAGTTCCTTATAACTCACTAAACATTTTTTTTTCAATTGATTTGACATGGATTTGATAAATGGCTTAATCTACCTGCATCTAGGTTTCTTATCTGTAAAAGAATGAACCTTCCTCCTTGTAAGATCAAATGATATACGGAATACTTTCAAAAAGTTATTAAAACTTTTAGATTAGCATGTTCATTCACTCGACAAAAATTATACTTCATGCAAAGGAAGCACTGCAGAAACTAGTATCTGCATAATGAGGACTGCTGAAGTGATCCACTAACTCCGAGTAGAAAGTTGTTAACGCACACCTCCCGAGAATGAACTATTTTCAGAGAACTGGCACACGATTTCTTATCATTACATCTAGGTTGTACATGCGTCATTTGTCTTAATGTCTCAGAGCAGCCCGCTGGGTGACAGTGATTATGGGAGTATACACGTGTAACACTCTGCTGGGTAACAGAATTCTCCATCAGGGAAGCCCCTACAGCATCTTTCACAGCATCACTGGTGAACTACAAGGGGGGTGACAGATTGAGGGGGATGCCCTTACTCTCCCTTGCCTGGCTTCCTCACTACCCCACAGGCATCAATAAGGCGGTCCAGAAAGGGAACGAGACCAAAAGCTAGGCTAACTTACCTTACAGAGAAGAAGTCTGTCGCCCTGGTTTCTCTGGAATTGGACCACCTGAGCGATGTAAGGCTCAGCAAAGCACTAGTAACTGAACCAAGGGACTGGGAGTCAGCAGTTCTAGCTGTGAGCCCATTCTGTGGACCCTCTTCTGACTCAACCCCTAGTTAATATCTGATTCAAGTACCTTGTTGTCATTAAATTAAATCCAACCAGAAGTATCCGAAATACAGTTAGGTTCCATGTCTATCATAGCCAAGTTACCAGAAAATCAGTCTTCAGTTACAATTTACAAATAAGGTTACACTTCAGTTGGCAAAAAGAGAAGCTACCCTCCTCCTTTGTCACTATTAGTCTTGAATTATGTGTCATCTGAATTATGCAAGGTCTTCAGAAGAGCATCCCTCACATGTGTACTGTCCTGAATTTCACCACTGGGTCTCACTACCCTCTCATGATAATAAGAGTGGTCACCAGTTTCATCAGCCATGAGACTAGGCTCGACTCTAGGCTTCTAGCTGACCCATCACCTCACAACAAACTGCTAGACATTCTTTCAACTTGTTATTATATGGGACACAGTACAGATCCATCTTCCTGTTCTTGGGACAATTTCTACTCACTCCAGTACTTTTTAGCTTGCAATCCCATGTCCTTACTCCCCCAATTACACTGGTAGTGGGAAATCCATGTTTATGCTTTCTAGTCAGAAATATCCTTAACAGCAACTGTTGCAGTGCAGGGGATCAAACAATGATTTAACTATCGAGCACCTAAACCTGAGTTCTTTCTCCTCCTCTTCATTTAGGAGCCACTTACTATACTTCAGTGAGTGAAATATGTATGAAATGGCCCAGGAAGACGTTTGTTCCCTAAGAATTGCAGAATCTGAAACGGGTCTAGGATACTGATTGAAGACCCTCAACGTATAGAGAAGGAAACTGAAGACAGCTCGACAAGCTACCTGACTTGCCCTGTGCCACCTGTCACACCCTGACTAGTGCTGAGCCTGGACTAGAACTCAAGTCCAAATTACCAAATCACTGGGCAGACTCGGTGTGAGACCAAAAACAGTACTGAGTGAAAGAGTCTAGATTACTTGCTTACCTGTTTGGATCCCTGTTTCTTGCTCTAATTGATGGTAGAGTTTGTTTGAATAGTCTGCCATCTTCTGCTCAATGGTCAAGTGTCTGGCGGTGCTTAGGATGCCAGCACAGAACCTCGTAGAGCCAGCAGCCAGCCTGTAGGATGGATGCAAATGCTATTAGGTAGACTCACACATCCGTGAATACAACATATTCAAGGTTCCTTATTATAGCACTGTTTCTAACACTAAAAGATGGAAACAAACAAAATGCCCATCAACATGAGAATGATTTAAAATTTTGGAGTTCACCTATTCAACAGAGTACTTTACATACAAAATGAATGAGAGGGGAGGGTACGGGCTCAATGGTAGGGCACATGCTTCATTAGCACGCACAAGGTCCTGGGTTCAATCCCCAGTACTTCCATCAAAATAAATAAATAAATAAACCTAATTACCCACCCCCCGCCAAAAAAATTAAAAATAAAAAGAATGAGAATACTTTTATGCACCAATCTTAATGGAACAACCCTAAAGAAAAAAGCCAGGGGAAGAACACAGTTTAAGTCATGCTACCACTTGCATGAGATGGGGGTAAAAAATGAATATCCAGATAGCCATATACATACCTACCAATACATATTTGATTATACATGTAAAAGAGTATCTAGAAATGATATGCAAGGAACTTAGCTCACTTCCAGTGAGGGAAACCTGTAGCTGAAGGTCAGGGAGAAGGAGACTTTTCCCTGTATGCTCTTTTATGCAATTTCAATTTCAAACTCTGTGAATGTGTTGCCTATTCAAAAATACACACACTTTAAATGTCTTAAAAGTTGTCCAATTTGTGATAGGCAATAGAACATGAAAAGCCTGGAACAGAAAAAGGACACTAGGGAAAAAGTGAATAAATTCTTTAGTGAATAGAAACTTCAGTTAATAATAATATCTCAATATTGGCTCATTCACTGAAACACGAATCTTAACGTAAGATGTTAGTAGCAGGTGAAACTGGATGGGAGGTACATGGGGACTCTGAACTAGCTTCACAATTGTTCTGTAAATCTAAAACTGTTCCAAAATAAGTTAATTAAATGAAGAGGAACAGGAATAAGGCAGAAAGCAGCTCAAAGACGAAGCACCCGAGTCACAGGATTCACTGCTGTTTTACTACAACAGAGAGAGCAGGATGGTAAGATGTGCTGCGAGCCTGACAGAAATACATCCCTTAGCTACTTGTTATGCTGGAGCCTGCCACTTCTCTGAAAACCAAAAAACATGAGTATTGGGCATCACAAAACAATGTACTGGAGATTTCATTTTTCTGTGATTCTTCTTAATGCCACTTCGCAATACTTAGATTAGCTATCGGTGGGTCAGTGTTACCAAAAGGGATGAGGGAAGCCCATCCAATCAGTGAAGGGGAGCCACAAGCCAAGCCAGGTCCAGTTTGATCCTTACCTGCCCTGCTCCAAAAGGACAATATCCTTCCATCCCATCTTAGAGAGATGATAGGCCACAGATGTGCCCATGATTCCACCCCCACAGATGACCACGTGTGCCTCGGCAGGCAGGGCAACGGAATGCGCTTCGGCGACGAATGCACCGCTTCTGACTGAGGACCACTTCTGCCATCCTCGGCCGTTTCTTTGTCTTCGGACCACTGATAGCAACCGGTGAAACATCACGTCTGCCAGCAACTGGGAGATGTGCTCTCACTCAGCTAAGAAGGAGATCCCCAGAATTCCAACTAGACAGAGAAAAACCAAACATATTTCATACCACTGTATTCAGTGCATAGAATTAATAAGAAAGGGCTGAAACAGAGAGTAGTAATTGTTCATTCAGCAAAAGTCTGAGAACTTACTGAGTTCCAGACACACTGCTAGCTGTAGATACAGCAGTGAACACGGAAGACGAGGCCCCTGCCTTTACACAACTTACGTTCTTGAGAGAGACAAGAAGCCAATACACAAATGAAACAAGTAACAAAGCTAGCATGATGGAGTCATTAGGGGCACAGTCAAAATACGATAGTCAGAATAGGCACATGAAAAAATGCTCAATATCACTAATTATCAGAGAAATGCAAATCAAAACTACAATGAAGTACCACCTCACACCAGTCAGAATGGCCATCATGCAAAAGTCCACAAAGGACAAATGCTGGAGAGGCTGTGGAGAAAAGGGAACCCTCCTACACTGTTGGTGGGAATGCAGTATGGCGCAGCCACTGTGGAAAACAGTATGGAGATTCCTCAAGAAACTAAAAATAGACTTACCAGATGAGCCAGCAATCCCACTCCTGGGCATATATCCAGAAGGAACCCTGCTTCAAAAAGACACCTGCACCCCGATGTTCACAGCAGCACTATGTACAATAGCCAAGACATGGAAACAACATAAATGTCCATCGACAGATGACTGGATAAAGAAGTTGTGGTATATTTATACAATGGAATACTATTCAGCTATAAAAAGGACAACATAATGCCATTTGCAGCAACACGGTTGTCCCTGGAGAATGTCATTCTAAGTGAAGTAAGCCAGAAAGAGAAAGAAAAATACCATATGATATCACTCATATGTGGAATCTAAAAAAAAAAAAAGACGACGACAAATGAACTTAAATATAAAACAGAAACAGACTCACAGACATAGAATACAAACTTGTGGTTGCCAGGGAGGAGGGGAGAGGGGGGTTGGAAGGGACAGACTGGGAGTTCGAGATTTGTAGATACTGACAGGTATACGCAGAATAGATAAACAACTTTATACTGTATAGCACAGGGAAATATATTCAAGATCTTGTAGTAGCTCACGGTGAAAAAGAACATGAAAATAAATATGTGTATGTTCATGTATGACTGAAAAATTGTGCTGTACACCGGAAATTGACACAACACTGTAAACTGACTATAATTCAAATAAATAAATAAATAAATAAATAAATAAATAAATGTATGTATGTATGTATGTATGTATGTATGTATGTATGTCAGAAAGAAGGTGACATTTGAGAAGACCTGATGGATGGAAAAGAACGAGCTACAAGTGTGCCAGACAGAAGAACGAGCACGTGCATAGGCCATGAAGTGAGACAGACCTGGATGAGTCCAAGCACAGAAAGGAGGCCGGCGTGTCCACAGCATGTGAGCGAGGGGAGACGACCTGAGACAAGGCTGGAGAGGCGGCGGAGAGCAACCGTACATGGCTCTCAGACACCACCACGAGCAGCAGGACTGATTCTAAGTGCGAAGGAAAATACTGCAGCAGGGGAATGAAATGATGGGGTGTGTTTTCCTAAGGTCAGGCTGGCTCCACGGTGCAGAGTGGATTGGAGGAGGGGAACACAGAGGTGAGTCAGGTGCTACTACTGTAGGTGTCCAAGAGGGTGCCGTGGGGGCTCAGAAAGGATGATGGCAGCAGACTCAGAGAAGTGACTGGATCGTTGGGGAAGCAGAAATGACAGTACTTATGTGCCAACAAGCCAGATGTTAAAATGGGGAAAAGGGAGAAATAAGGATGATGGCTAAGTTTCTGGGCTAAGCAACTGGGGCCACTTACTCTATGAGAAGGATCAGAAATAATAGGGAGGGAGGCAGGGAAGGATAGCGAGCAGGAAGGAGGCTGTGACGGTGTGCACGTGTGTGTACAATGAAATATTCCACTCCCTGATGTCAAGTGCGAGGGACCCGTCAGGCATCCATGTGGAAACATCGAGCAGCACCCAGACATGCGAGCCTGAAACTTGGAGTGTGATTCGGAGGTCATCAGCATGTATACAATTCCTGAAGCCCCAGCATTTCGAACACCAAGACTTCTGAGGCTCCCCGCACATACACACGAGGAAGAGAAGGACTAGAGGCAGGACTGAATGCTGGGGCAGACTCACAGAGCATCCAGAGAAAGAGAAGCGGCTGAAGAGATGAAGAAGGAGTGGCTAGGGAGGCGGAAGAACACCAGGCAGAGGTGTCACCGAAGCCCAGGGAGGGACGTGTGTGAAGAAGCAGTCACTACGGAGGGTGCCGAGGAAGGAGCAAGGCGGCCGCGTGTCCACCAGAATTTCACAACACAGAGGCCCAGGTGTCCTAAAAAAGAACATTTTCAGGGGATGGAGGAATGGAATACACGCCAGAGCAAACTGAAGAGTAAGTGAGCGGGGGGGGGGGGCGCAGGCGACTGTGACACTGAGCTCGGAAGGGGAAGGGAAAACATGGAGTACAGCAAGGTCTGTTTTTTAACCGGGGACTATTAAGAATGTTTCACCGCTGCCAGGATGAGCCAGGAAAAGGGAAAGAGGTGGGTGAGGAAGGAGAGGGAATAAGAAAGGATGCGGTCCCAGAGAAAGACAGAGAGACGGGATGCAAAGCCATAGCAAAGGAGGCGTGCCTCGCGCTTCCACGGCAATGCGGTAGAGTTGAAGGTACTGGATGTCTGCTCCAGAAAGGAGGGATGACTCGTCTCCTCAGGCTCACCACTCACACACGAGCCACCGGCTGCAACGTCTCTACCAGACAGTAAATGTCGTAGCTTAGAGAAGAAAAAGAACGCAGGCCATGCCTATCGGGAAAGGGATCATATAGAGAATAAGACCTAAGCTGAGCCTGGGAGGATAAAACTGGGACAAAGAGAGACAGAAAGCACACACAGTCAAGCTGCAGAACAAGTCTGACCCTGCGGGCTGGTGGAGGACAGGAAGGGATCTGGCTCGGAGGCCTCAGTGTCTCTGAGTCCTGGGAGCAGAAACTGAAGTCAGATGGAGCCAGACCGGGGAAGACGGTGGATATTTGGTCTGACGTGGCCCAGTACCACAAATTGAAAATGAGAAAGGCAGAGTTTTAGAAAAACTTATCTAACAGCAAAAGAGAGGACTGTTCAAGTTTCAAGAAACTGAAGAAAGACCTGCTGGCTGACTGTGCAGTCACTGAAGTACAGGAAGATGAGGACTTCAGATCAGAGGGGTGGCAACAGCAGACATCAGGGCAGCACACCGCTAGTATCACCGGCACCTCCACTACCAGCCCCGGGACCCAGTGGGCTCCACCATCAGCCCCAGTCATCTAAGGCCAAAGTATCCACGCCCATCCATCAGACAGGACTCTCACAACCGTGACCAACGCGGGTACAGATTGTATTCCGAGAGAAATCCCAACCAACGAGGGACTAACTATTTGGGCCACTCTGGGGGTGCCATCATGCCTCGTGTCCCTGCCAAACTCTGTCTCAAGACACAAGCTTCTCCACACAGCTAGTCTTGCTGTAAGCTCATCTCCACGTAAACAATTTCTCTCTCCAGATCCAATCCCTCTCTGCTTTCCTCTCCTTCAGACTTCTCCACTGTGCCCCTCAGAACATCCTTTCCAAAGTTATATGCCCATCCCTTCACTGATGTCCTCTCCACCTGTGCCTCAACAGAAATGCAAGTCTCCTCTGGCACATGGCCAGCCCTGTTCCCCTGACCTCACCATCGAGAGGTAGGGTCAGGGTCGGCATCCTCATCCTTCTGCACCATTACCACCTGGTCATGCTTAAAAAAGACCCCGTTCCACTGTGGCTGTGCTGGCAGGCACCTCGTTCCTAGCTCCAGGCTACCTCCTGTAAAGCCCCAGGCACACCTCTTGTCTACATCCGGGTTCTGAACCCATAACGCTGCTCCTCTCCCGACCTTGGACCCCACCCTCCTGTCTTCCTTCATCTAAGCAGATAACCTGTCTCATCTTGACCCCTGAAACTCCACCTGTAAACCTCCTTGCATCATCTGCAGCCACCTCTGCCGTCCTGCACAGGGTCAAAACCTAGTTCTCTCACAGGCGCCTGGATCCCGCTTCTGCTTCCTTCCCAAGAACCAAGCTCCATCAACTGTCCTCCTCTGTCAGACACCTTCTGGTTTCCCTCCTCCTCCTCTGCCATTTAGGTACGCTCAAGTACCCCACCCCCCCACCCAGCAGATTTAAGAAATAAAACAAAGCTCCATAACCTTCTTCAGTCAGCAATTTTTAATTCTACAAATTATAAATTATAAAATGATGGTCTTTGCAAAAACTCAAACACCTCCACCCGAGGCAATTAAGATTTCCCAAGACGCAAAGCTCACCAACACCAGTGTTCATGATAACTTCCCAGATTATTTCTGCAGCAGTGAACTGCCCTGATGTCCACTTGTTTGCCACCACCTTTGTCGTGAGTCCCGCTTTTCTTTACCTTGGTGATGGCACGGTCTGCCAGTGGAATTTTTAAGCAAAAATTTCTTAACATGTGCTTCACAACCTATCTTTTTCACTCAATAAACAATACACGGAAAGACCTACTTCTACTCCCCCGCCCCCACTTTACCCCCATCCTACTTTCTCCTGAACCAAAAGCAGGCGGCCTTCTGCCCACCCCACAGGCCACCGACACCACTCTCAGAGGAACACTAATGCTGCTATTAGTCCAGGGGCATTTTCTGGCACCAGCTCACTCGCCCATGGACGCCTCCTTCCTGCTCACACACTCTTTCCTTGTTTTGTGTGACACCCACTGCCCGGATCACGACTCGCCGGCCTCTCTCCTCTGCCTTCTCTATGTGCTGACGACCCTAAAGGGCTCCCTGACCAGCTCCTCTCCCCCGTCCATTATCATCCAGGCGACTCCCTCTCCTATGACTCACGGCCTAACCCCTGACAGCTACCCTGAGCCTCAGGCCAGCACGTCTAGTTGAAGAACCGCCACAGCCACTTGGACCCCCACAGGTCAAACTGAGCACAGAAGGTGAAGCCGCCTTCCTCAGTCTCCAACTCTGTCCACTTCCTGTGTCCCCCAGGGACACCACATACTACAACCCTGGGTGTCAGCCTGCATTCTCCCTTTCTCTCCCCTCCGCTCTCCAGTCAATCATCAGGACCTAACAATTCCACACTGTACGTTTCCCTCTGACGGACGGACTTCTCTCCATCTCCCTTCCCTTTCCTGAGCACAAGCTGCCATCCCCTCACTCAATTTAGGCAGAAGCTCCCCTACGGGGCTTCCAGCCTCTACAGCCTCTACTCTGCACACCATTCTCACCCCCCAGCCCCCACACAGGGCTCTGGGCCACTCTTCTATAATGAAAATCCACCTAGAGCCAGCATACTATGCAACAGTGAAAATCTGAAAGCCTTCCCATTAACATCTGGACCAAGACAAGGATGCCCACTCTCACCACTTCCATTAAATATAGTACTGGAACTCCTAGGCACAGCAATTCGGGGGGAAAAAAAAAGAAGAAGAAATAAAAAAGATCCAAATTGGAAGAGAAGAGGTAAAATTGTCATTACACGTGGATGACATGATACCATATATAGAAAATTCTTAAGGCTCCACACAAAAAATACTAGAGCTGTAAAAAGAATATGGAAAGGTAGCAGGATACAAGATTAACACAGAAATCAGTGGCATTTCTTTACACTAATACTGAAATGTCAGAAAAGGAAAGTAAAGAGACAGTCCTGCTTAAATTCCATTAAAAAAAATAAAACAGTTAGGGATAAATATGACCCAGGAAGTGAAAGACTTACACAAGCAGAACTACAAAACACTGACTAAGGAAATTAAAGATGACTTAAAGAAATGGAAAGATAGCCCATGTTCTTGGATTGCAAGAATTAATGTCGTTAAAATGGCCATACCACCCAAAGCAATCTACAGATTTAATGCCATCCCTATTAAGTGACCCAGGACATTTTTCACAGATCTAGAACAAATAGTCCTCAAATACATATGGAATCACAACAGACCCAGAATTGCAAAAGCAATACTGAAGAAAAACAGTGAAGAGGGAGGAATAAACCTCCCAGACTTCAGACAATACTACACAGCTACAGCAATCAAAACAGCATGGTATTGGTATAACAACAAACATACGGAGCAATGGAACAGAACAGAGAGCCCACAAATAAATCCACTAACTTTTGGTCAGTTAATCTTTGACACAGGAGGCAAGAACATACAATGGAGGTAAACACAGTCTCTTCAGCAAATGGTGTTGGGAAAACTGGACAGCTACATGTAAATCAGTGAAGTTAGAACTGGCCCTCACACCAGACACAAACATAAACTCAAAATTTAACATAAGACAAGACGCTATAAACCTCCTAGGAGAAAACATAGGCAAAACATTACCTGACATAAATGTCAGCAATGTTCTCCCGGGGCAGTCTACCCAGGCAACAGAAATAAAAGCAAAAGTAAACAAACGGGACCTCATTAAACTTATAAGCTTTTGCACAGCAAAGGAAACCACAGGAAAGCAAAAACACAACCTACGGAATGGGAGAAAATATTTGCAAAAGATGAGACTGACAAGGGCTTAATCTCCAGAACATATAAACAGCTCACACAACTTAAAAAGAAAAAACAAACATCCCAATTCAAAAATGGGCAGAAGACCTGAGCAAGCAATTCTCCAGTGAAGACATACAAATGGCCAATAGGCACAGGGGAAAATGCTCAACATCGCTAACTATCAAAGAAATGCAAATCAAAACTACAATGAGCTATCACCTCACACCAGTCAGAATGGCCATCATGCAAAAGTCCACAAAGGATAAATGCTGGAGAGGGTGTGGAGAAAACGGAACCCTCCTCCACTGTTGGTGGGAATGTAGTTTCATGCAGCCGTTACGGAAAACAGTATGGAGATTTCCCCAAGAAACTAAAAACAGACTTACCAGATGATCCAGCAATCCCACTCCTGGGTGCACTTCTGCTCTCCAGTCAATCATTAGCGCCTAACAATTCCACACTGTACGTTTCCCTCTGAGAGACGGACTTCTCTCCATCTCCACTGCCCTTACCTGAGCACAGACTGCCATCCCCTCTCACCTAGTTTAGGCAGAAGCTCCCCTATGGGGCTTCCAGCCTCTACGCTGCACATCATTCTCACCCCACCCCCAGCTCTCACACACAGGTCTGGGCCAGTCTTCTAAAATGAAAATCCTATTTCATGCCCCAGCTTAAAACCTGTCAACGACTGTCTGATGCCCTCAGAAAAAGTCCAATTCCTTGATCCAAAGGGTAAGACCCTTCACTATCTGCTCATTTCTTTCCTCTCCTTTCACATTCTAACCAAGTCAGACTGCATCACTTGAAACTCCTCAAACACGGCAGACGTTTAGTTTTTCATTCACCTCCAGGTCTGTGCGGAACGTTCCTGCTAACTGGTGTGGTTCCTGCCAACCCTCCCCGCGAAATAAAGATAATCCCCTCAGCTCTCAGCCTGTTTGACATCTCATTTGTCCCCTCTCTCCCCTGACACTTGGTCAGGTGACTCTTCCCTGGCCCCCAAACACCCTGCACTACTTCCTCCAGCACAGAGCCAGTCACACCACATAATGGTCTGTTTGCCAGCCAGGGAAGCAAAACGGCAATCAAGCTGAGAATTCAGACTTCAGAAGCAGACAGATCTGGGTTTGAAAATGTCCCCCACCTCAGGTGTATGACTTGGAGCAAGTCCCTCAGTCTCTGGGCTCCTTATCTGTAACATGGGCTAGAACACCTACTACACCCGGCGGCTCCAAGACTAAAGCAGACAGTGCAGGAAGAACAGGGCAAGTGGCGCCGAAGCAGCACTCACTAAGTGGTAGTTTACTTACTGTTATGAGGGAGTTCTCTGAGAGCAGGGAATGATTACAACTGCATCAGGGTTTTCCTAGCATTCAGCGTGGGCACCTAGGAAATACAAGCCGACGAGTGATGAGAACAGAGAACAAACGAGATGGGGAAAAAACTTAATGATGACTCAGATCTCACGGCTAGGCCCCCAGATTTGAGGGACTACCTAAATAACCTGAAAGAAGTTTAAAAAGGCAAAATTCTTGTAAGCAGTTACAATATGCCAGACACTGTTTTATAGATACAACTAATTTAATCCTCACAACTCTGTAAGGCAGATACTATAATTTCTATTCTACCCCAGAAGAAACAGTGGCACACAGAAGTGATGTGACACTTCTCTGTGGCACCCAAGGTCCTGTAACACTGGTGAGTGGCAGAGCACGAATTCAAAGCTAAGCAGTCTGGCCTAGAGTCTGCCATTGAATCATTACTCCATGCAACCTTTAAATTAAGATTAGATGAGTATCTTTAAACTAAGACGAGATGAGGTAAAAAAGGATCGCTGTGAGAACAAAACCACAAGGCGGCACTTTCCCTAGCAGATAAAGGGAACTGCAAAGGTGGCGTTAGAAACATAGTAACAGATGAGTTTCAAGCCACTGAATAAACAATGCTAAAAGGCCAGGGTGATAACCAAAAAAATAATTTTTGACCTTGTGCTCATGACCTTCAAAAGAGTTAGTGACATGGTGAGGGCAAAAAATAAATAAATAAATAAAAAGGATTCACAGTGGACGCAAACAATGAAGAAAGGAAGGCATCAGAGTATTCAAGAAGGTTTGGCAGAAGAACTAAAGCAAAGCAAGAGTGCAAAGGAGTAGGAAAAAACCAAAGAAGTAAATCATGTACATGACTGAAAATAAATCATAGTTCTTAAAAAGAAAATGACTGTATAACATTCTCTAAGAAAAACAATTTCTGCTAAGAAACCCCTCAATACTGGGCCTGGTTATGCTCAGATCTGCCTACACGTCAACAAGAGCAAGAGGACAGCTCCAACTCTCTCTCAACTGTTCCTCTGAATGCTCACAGCATCGTGTGCAAACCCGCAGCTGGTCACAAGGAAGACTGGGTGAGAACAGTTAAGAGTAACACATTTCCCACACCTGCCTCAGCATTGGAGCCACCTGGGACACCAGGCGATCCGGCAACTTTAAGAAATTAATACGAACCCCTATCCGTGGAAAAGTTCCTGCCACCTCCCCGCCCAGCATCCCCCTACAACATGCTGGCATGCGAGGCGAAACAGACTTGAAGATGTCTGAATCAAATCAGTGTCATACAAGTCAGTCCCGAGAGGGTCAGTCTTTAAGAAGAGGGCTCACTGCCCTGGCCTGGACGTTTCCAAGTAACCTCACTGCCAGACTCGGCCGCAAGTTTTACCAGTTACTTAAGCACAAGCGGACCGCGCGTTTCCACGCGGGAAAACAACTCCACCTGCAGAGTTGTCCCAGCTGAACAAGCCTGAGCCGCGCTGCGGGGTGGGAGTGGGGGAAGGGGTGCCTGCCCGAGGCGGGCCTACAAGAGCGTGGGCATCCAGGCTGAGCTGCGGGCGCCTGGCAGAGCCGGTGCGCGGACCCCGGGGCAGCTGGACAAGGGTCCCCGAGACGCCACAGCCGCAGAGGCTGAGGGAGTTCAGCCGACCCACTGTCCGCCTTCCGGAGGACCGGGCAGATCCGCCGGGAAGCGAGGGACGGCCGGGACCCTCCTGAGCGAGACCACAGCGGAAAGAGGGGGCCCTGGGGGTCCCGGGGAGGCTAAGGCCCGCGCGGACGGGGAGGCCACAGCGGCCCCGCGGCTTCTCCTTACCTCACGTGCCCCCACGGGCTCCGCGCTCAGCAACACCCGGGCTGACGCATAGCAGCAGCCGCCACAGCAGTCGCGGGGGATCGCGGAGGCCGGAAAGGGGGCACAAGGAATGGGGAGGGAACGAGGCGGCGGGAGGAAAAAAGTTCCGGGGAAAACTGAGCCCGCGACCTTCCGCGCTTTACGGTCCCTAGCAAGGGGACGCCGGCGCGTGATATAAAGCGCGCCCGCGCGCGCCGTGACGTCACGTTAGGGCCCCGCCCCCTGGCACGTGGGCTTGTTTGGGTCTCGCGAGGCCACTCCCCTGGGGCTCTCCACTCCACCAAGATGGAGGCCAGCTGGAGGCCTGGTCTTTCAGGGCTACTTTGCAGCCCCTGTCTCGGATCCTGTCGATTTCTGCAGGAGGAGCCGGGACGGCGGAGATGGCGGCAGCCCCGCTGGAGTGTGGGGAGCGTTGGCGGCGGGGGAGAAGGTTCCCTCTTCCCTCGAGGCGTCTTGCCACATCCGGACCTACGTGGGTCCGCCTCCCAAAGACACTCTAGTCCAGGGGGTAAAAATGACTTCTCGACCGACAGCCACTTTCTTCTTTGGAATCGCTCGGGTCTTCTTGGGCGAATCTCTAGCAGAGAGGATCGGAAATCCGGCCGGCTGGCCTGTCCCGACTTCAGAGGCAGGATTAGAGGACCTGAGCTGTGGGCGGGATCTTACTCTTTGCACCTTGCCTGCTTGTCTGGACCAGAGGAGAAGGAATCATTCACTCCAACCTCTGAGAAGTTGCCCATCCACTCCCCCACCTCACCTACTATCACATCGCCCTGTGTTCTTTCCTTTAGAGAACTTGTCACTGCAGTAGATGAGTGCTTGTTGACAGCCTTTCCCACTGGTTGCAAGCTCTGCCCTCTGACCACAGTACCTAAATCACATACAGGGGTATGTTCTCAGCATTTAGAACAGTGCTTGGCACAACGTCCAGTAAATATCCTCTGAATGGAGAGCGAACTAATAGTACAGCCTCCCCTGCTTGTTGGACCACACTGGCCAATTCCATCCATTGGATTCAAACCCATCTCACCACACAAGCCAATGTTGTTTGATGGAGGGCCTCTTGTGGCCGGGCACCGTGCTAGGTGATGGGACTCAGCAGTGCGCAGGAAAGAAAGGGCTTCTGCCATGAAGGAGTGATCATATAATTCCAGGGACCCCTGTGTGACTGGGCCAGCCCACAACCTGCATACTTTGTACACCCTCACTTGCCAGTTAACTCACACAAGATAGCCCATAGGAGGTCTGGTTTCCTGAGAACCAATACTGCCGTTTGCTACTCTGATGCATGGAAGTTCAGGGCATTCTGGGCCTCCATGCTAGATACATACTTTAATATTTTAGCTCTTGGCTTAAAGCTTAGGGTCACCAGCTGCCTAAAAAAGAAGAGGGCACAGGCTAACACAGCTGGGGCATATTCTCGGGTGAGCCTTTCCTGATACCTAACTGTGGCAACTGGGGGAGAAAAACCACAAGTTTTTGTGATGAGCCATCCTGCTGATGCCATTGCCCGGCATGTGAATTTGGCAGAAACCAAGTTGTCTATAGGAAATGGTGGCTGAAATATAAAGTGCTGTTTAACCTGTTTCAGTACATTCTGGTTTCATGCAGTAAGCAGTGAACAAGCTGTATAGATTTCTCCAAGCTCCCCTCACCCATGCCCTTTTTAAGCCTCTGCTTTAAATGCTAAGCCCTGGGGCTCCCTTCATTGTCAATATTGAGTCTTGTACTTTGTAGGCTCTCATAAGCACCGATGCAGTGTTTTTCAAGAGGATTGTTTTTGTTGTCTTGGCTTCTCCTTTTCTGTTAAAGACCAGAGTTATTTCTTGTATGGTTCTTGACTTCTCTGAGCATAGTATCTGCAACCCTTAGAGAATTACATATTTCTTCATGGGCCATGATTTTCACAACATTAGGTGCATCAATTTTATGCTTTGCAAACCTTCTGCCTTCTCATTTTTCACTCTTTAAGGACAAGAATTGCAAGACATGGGGAGGATACATTTAGCACCTGTTTCAAAAGATCTGTGCCAGGATTTGCTTCACACACCAAGAACTGGAGCTCGGAGCACCTCTTTCCCCCAAGCCAGGTTCTAGTGCCTTACATTCCAGAATGCCACATGGTGGCTGGAGATGGGAAGCATGAAAACAAAAGTACCTTCATTTTGTCTGAGGAGACCCATCCAACCCACATAGCTTCTCCTTCCTCAGAACTAGGGAGTGTCGGGTAGAAAGCTCTGCACCTTGTTTCAGTGAAGGGTCTTCTAGCAGCACGGTTATCACTTTACTCTCTGGTTTACTCTTGGGATGTGTGAAAATGCCAGTGTAATTATTGTAAAGTGCTACCACTCATTCTTTGCATTTGTAAATGTGCAGTTCAACTCAGCATTTTCTGTCCCTGTGTAGCATCAGCCTGTGGTTCAGAGGATGTTTGAGGCACTTTAGTAAATGGTTCTTTCTCCCGAGCCCTGGTGACAATAGGCACACAGGGTGACCGAGCATCTCTGCCCTCCGTGAATGCGGTATTAACATTGTGCAGTGTATTTCTATCAAGCCAGGTTTCAATTGAGAATCTTTTCATGTTACTAAGTTTGCGAATAAATAAACAGACATTTGAACTACTCTTGCCATGTCTATTTGTGAAATGGTCTGCATCTGTAGTAACCAGGTATATGCATTTGCCATCACTGGCACTGAACACTGTACATAAAACCATCTGTACCTGCCTTTACCAAAGTATAAAAGAGAATTTGGGAACCGAGGAAATGAAGATACAGGCATTTGTAAACGTTTCCCTCCGCAGTGGGGGCGTGGCTGTTGGGAGAAAGCCCCGTTCCACCACCAGAAGTCACTGTCGCTGTCACTGGACTTGACACCCAGCCTTACCTTGATTTCCCGGTAAGAACGTGGCACGTGGTGTTTCCCCGTGTGCTGGGAGCCCGTGTGTGTGCATTCCCGTTCACACCTGTGGGGAGAGAAGCAGCCAGTGTTCTCACTTCACCAACTTCCAGCCACAAATCACAGTGTCGTGTTGCAGTAAAACACCTGCTCTGGGCTTAGCGCTGTGCTGGCTGCAGTGGCGCCATTTCTGAGCCCCTGTGAGGTAATGGTAAAACTGGCTCATGTGCCAGGCACTGTGCAGTGCCCTACCTGCCTCACCACAACGACACTCCACCAAAACTGTGTAAATCAGAGGACAGTGTCCCTGCTTCACCTATGAGGACAGTGAGCCTTGGAGAAACACATTCTCAAGTTACAGAAAATAAAACCAGACCTCACGTCCAAGTCTTTAACACATGAAGTAGTGACCTATTCAAGTGAGTGCTAAGTCATGTGCCGGAGACAGTGGTGGTGCTTAGAATCACCTGGGAAATCTAAACCCGTACCTCTGAATGAACTGGAATCAACAAGGCTGAAGGACACATCAGTTCCTCTGAAGGGCTTTCCAGGAACTTCTCTGTATCTAGAATCCACTGGATGCCGACTATTGAAGAGTCTGGAGGAGAAACGGTAGTTGTGTAACGCTGTGTGGGTGAGACAGGACTTGAGCGGGTTCTTAACGAAGCTCTGTTTGCCAATCTGTGAAATGGGGCTAATGCCGCAGTGGCCTCACAGATCACAGTGATTCAGTCATGCTCTTTGGTCGTATAAAGCAGGAGGTGGCACTGTGGCCTACGAACTGAGGTTTCCTGGGTTGCACAGCCCCTCACAGGGAGATTAGTTAGAAACCCAAGTCAGACTAATAAAATCTCCCTCCCCGAGAGGTGATAACCCAACATGGCCCCTTATCGCACAGGAGGGCCCGAGGTGCAGCTGCTTTGGTGCAGCCTCCCAAGGAGGGCTGTGCCCTTTCCCTCCCGCTAACCTTCCCACGACAGGCGCTGTAGAGCAGAGACCCCTAGACACTTGGGCCCGGCAGCATGTTGAGTCTGAGCTGAAAGGGTGGGTGTGGTGGTTGGGGAAGAGCAGGACTTTGGAGCTGAGCTGGCCTGGGTATGGATGCCAGCACTGACTCTTCCTTGGTGTGTGACCCTTTCTGGGGCCTCTGTGCTAGTCACCAACAGAGACGAGAGAGAGAGAGAACCAGCAGGACGTGTATATATGTAGAGGGAGAGATTTGTCTTGAAGACTGATTCACAGGACTATGGGCTGCAGGCCTGAAGTGCGCGAGGCAGGCCGGCAGGCTGGAGACCCAGGGCAGAGCTGATGTGGGGTCTCCAGTTCCCAGGCGGTAGGCGGTCCCACCCATTCCTCCTCCCTCCGCGGGGCCTCTGTCTTCTCTCTTAAGACCTTCAGCTGAATGGATGAGGTCCACTCACATCATGGAGGGTGATCTGCTTTCCTCAAAGTCTACTGATTTAAATGGTATTCGTAGCTAGAAAATACCTCTGCATCAATATCTAGACTCTTGCTTGACAGGTTGGCACATACAATTAATCATCACAACCTCCATTTATTTGCTTGTAACGTGGGCAATGATACTTTTCCTCCCTTTGTTTTTGTTTTTGCAAGACTCAAATAAGGAACATAGAACACTTGGTCCACTGCAAAATTTTTCAGGGCACAACAGCTACTCTTGTTATGATTGTTGCAAAGTGAGCTGCACGGCCGGGCACTGAGGCTCTGGGCTGTGGGATACGGGGAGTTGAGCCAGAATGAATGATGGCGGAGGCTGGAGACACGCAGCTGAGGCGCAGAGCCTGTGCCCAGGCTGTTACCCTGCAGCTTGTGGTGGGAGCTGGGTGGGAGTCCCCAGGTGCCACTGAGGCGGATACTTTGACCTCACTGTGACTTCAGTAAGAACTACCTGGGCTTGGTGGAGGTGCACTCAGGAGGCACCTGGGAATCCTGGGCGCTTGTCTGAGCTCAGGGAGCTCTTTCCAGGCCCAGGGCTGCTGTGTGTGGATGACCTATGAGCAGTGCTATCCCCGGGCCTCAGGTGAT